GGGGGTGGTGGGGTGTGTAATGGGGGAATGCACTTGGGGGTGACTGGACTAACGCATGGGGGGTGTGGTGGGGGGTGCACGTGGGGATCGTTAGGATCCATACAGGGGTCTTGGGGACTGCGCATGGGGGTAACGCATATGGGGGTGCTGGGGGAGGCTGCCCATGGGGATGACGGGGAGCTGTGCCCACGGGGGTGTCGAGGGGGGTTGTGCCCACGGAGGTGCAGGCCGGGGTGGGGGTGAGTGCGCACGGGTGATCCGAGGCCCCGTTCCCTGCCGTGGGGGTGCGCGGGTCGGCGCTCACGCCCGCCGTGGACCTTGCCCGAGGGCGGGAGCAGCGGGGAGCGCGGCCCTGTGCGGGGGCCCGGCCCGTTGCCCCTGTCCCCCCAGCCCACCCCGGTGTGTCTGTCCCACCCCAGTGTGTCCCTCCACCCCCGCGCCCACCTGCCCCACTCGCAGCGTGCCCCGCACCAAGCCCCGCGCCAGCACCGCCGCCATGGCCGCCGCTCCCGCCCCCCCGTCACTCATACCTCGGTCCCGCCCCACGCCCCTTAAAGCGCCCGCACCCGCCCGCGCCCACGCGTGACGCGAAGATGGCCCCCACGCCGCAGTGTCCCGGCCGGGACCCTCCGACGGGGGGCAGGATCACTCGCTCCCCGGATGGAGCCACGACCCCGGGGATGCCACCCGACCTCCCCTCCCTCCACCGGGCGGGTGTTGTGACCACGAAATGGAGGAGCCCGTGTGCGAGGCTGTCCCAGGCGGGTTTATTGGCGCTCAGAAGCCCATGCGCGGCCGCTTGCGGCGGGTCTGCGAGGCAGAAGAGAGCTGGCTCTGGGAGGAGGGGATGCAGAGCTGGCTGGCCTGGCTGCCAGGGAGCTCTGGGGGCTCAGGGGGCACCTCAGCCCACACCGACAGGTAGTCCCGCAGCGTCTTCCGCCGCTCCTTGGGGATGCCGCGGCTGTGCAGGCTCTGCGAGGACAGCAGGGCTTCATCGGGTGCTGGCGAGGCTGGGGGGCTGCCGGGTAGGGGGCTGCTGGCTGAGGGGGAGCCCTCCTGGGAGAGAATGTGTGGGCGGCCAGGGGAGAGCAGCGGGGGTCCTGCATCACTGAGCTCAGACAGCTCCGACTGGTAGGTGAGGGAGGACGTAAAACTGGCCGAGAGGCTGCGCCGGCCCCGTGCTCGTTTCTGCCGCCGCCGCCGCTCCCGCAGCGCCCGCTGTCTCTGTGCCACGCTGAAGCTCGTCCTGTCCTCCCACCACTGCTCCCAGTCCCCAGACCAGGCTGCTCTCAGACGGGTGCTCAGATGGTCCAGATCCCCCTCTGGCTCCAGGGGCTGCGGCAGGGGAGGGGTATGGAGGGCCACAGGCTCCCAGTGCTGGATGTGGCCCCCTTCCCGCATGACCTGGCGCAGCCACTGCCGCACCTGCCTCTGCAGGGCAGTGGGACCTGTTGGCCCCTCCAGCTCTTTGCGGGTGAAGAGGCGCCTCTGGCTGAGGCTGGGGGGCAAGGAGTTCTGGGGGGGCTCCCTGCAGCCTCTGAAAAGAGCCCTCAACCAGCGGTGGTAACGCAGGGCTGCAGCTGGGCTGGGCACAGCTGGGTTGGGCTGGGGGCTGGCACAGGGCTCCTGAGGTAGTTCAGCTTCCTCTGGGGGTGCTGGTGTGCCTGTGTTCTCCTCCTCCTCGTTGATAATCACCTCCAGGTTGGACAAGTAGAACGTTTGCTCTTCCTCCTCTTCTTCCTCACTGCCCAAGCCCAGTGGGCTGCTGGCAGGAGCCTCGAAGAGAGGGGAAGAGCCAGGGGCTGTTGTGGCCTCATCCCTCGAGGTGGGTAAAGGGGGATGTGCTGCCTCGTGGGTCAGCCTCTGGCAGAAGACATCCCCAGCCTCGGACAGCTGGAAAACCAGCATGGTCTCGCACGTCCCATCCCCCTGCAATGTGGCAGCCAGCCCTGCAGGGACAGGAGAGACATTTTCACCAGGGTTCCAGTCCTGGGGATCCTGCACGGGCCTGGCCAGCAGTTGGGGTTGCCTCCACTCCTCAGTGGGCACTCACTGCTGGACTCTGCCCCGCATATAATTTTCTAGGTCATTAATCTCTTGCACAGGGTCATCTGGGGCTTTGCTTTCACTTTTTCAGCCACCCTCCAACCAGGCCATGACAAGGGCTACACTACCCCTCCATTCCACCTTCTCCCCCACCAAGACCTGCACCCCAGAGCAGTGTGGGACACCCACCTGCAGCCGGGGCTCCGAGGCGCTGCTGGAGCAGGTGGTGGTGGTGTGGAAGCTGGGTGGGCAGGTGCTGCAGGCACCCGGCGATGCTGTGCAGCTTCTGTGGAGCCCCTGCCAGCTGGCAGGCCGACTGGCTGCCCCCTGAGGAAACACACCCCAAAAAGCAGGCAGTGAGCACCGATGCCAGGGCAGCAGCTGGTCCCAGCATGAGGAGGCTAGCACATGGGCACAGAGGAGCCCCAGCTGCGCAGCACCCCTGGAGCTCCATCTCTCACCCCGGTATTGCAGCAGCAACAGTTCCTGGGTGCGGGATGCGCCGAGCAGCACCTTATGGGTCCTCCCAGGATCCCCTGGCATCAGGTGGGCAAAGAGCGGAGGGGCCTTCATCATGTGTGCCCACTTCAGCACAGGCACCAGCGGCAACCGCTCGTCCAGCACGTACACGGAGAACTGGGGCAGGGGGCACGGCTCAGCAGGGGCACACCCCAACAGTGACCCCCCTGCCCCACAGGCACTGGGAGAGTCAGCTGTGCTGGGTGTCTCTCCCAGCTGCCAGCTGTGGTGGGACTCACCTGGGTGGTGACAAGGTACTGTGAGGGGTGAGCCCTGCCCAGGTACATGGGCAGCACCACGCGCTCGCCCTGCTGGCAGCCGGCTTCCTCGCCCACCTTGAACAAGTCGAAGTGGCATTTCTTGGGGGCCTGCAGTGGCACAGCGGGGTGCAGTCAGCACTCTGGGCCGGGGGACCCTCTCACCTGCCTGCCCCCAGCCCCAGGCCCACCCTCCCAGGCTCACCCGGGCATCCAGGCACTGCAGGCCGGTGCGGTCGGCGCAGCTCAGCACCCGTGGGTGGGCAGTGAAGTCGCTCCACCGCCAGGGGGAATGGTCCCGAAAAAACATGGTCTGGGCGTCATGGCGGAGCTGCTGCAGCCTGTGGGGAGATGGCAGTGTCAGCAAAGGGAAGGGCTGCCCCTCTCACTTGGGCCCCCCGCCCCCTGAGACTCTGCTGTCTGCAGGAGCTCCCAGCCAGCCCCGAGTGCCTCATCTCACCCTGTCTCGACGCTCCAGAGGTAGACGGTCCCACTCTGAGTGCAGACTGCTAGCTCCCCAGGGAGGTGAGGGCTGCAGGATCACAGAATCACAGAATATGCTGAGTTGGAAGGGGCCCACAAAGATCATCAAAGTCCAACTCCTGGCCCTGCACAGGACCATCCCCAAGAGAGTCACACCATGTGCCCCAGAGTATCATCCAAACGCTTCTTAAACTCTGTCAACCTGGTGCTGTGACCACTTCCCTAGGGAGTCTATTCCAGTGCCCAAGCACCCTCTGGGAGAAGAACCTTCCTCTAATATGAAACCTAAAACCACCCTGATATGAGATCAGGCCATTCCCTTGGGTTCTCTCACTGGGCACCGCAGAGATCAGTGCCTGCCTCTCCTCTTCTCCTCATGAGGAAGTTGGAACTGCAATAAGGTCTCTCCTCAGTCTCCTCCAGGCTGAACAGAACCAAGTGCCCTCAGCTGCTCCTCATGTGGCTTCCCCTCAAGGCCCTTCACCATCTTCATTGCCCTCTTTTGGATGCTCTCTAAAAGCCTGGCATGGCATCACCCCCACAGGGAGAAGGGCTGCACAAGCAGAGCCCTGTCCTGCAGCACATACCTGACAGTGAGGCAGGAGGCAGGCACATCAGTACGGATGACCTGCAGCGGGGTGGGAGCTGTCCCTGTCCTGCCTGGCACCCTCCAAACTCCGCAGTGATAGTCTGAGCAGACCCCAACAAAATCTGTCAGGGGTAAGGAGGTGGAACATAAGCTGGCAGTGTCCTGGGGGGTCCCTGCCACCCCGCCACCCCAAGTCTTGCCTGTCCCAGGGCTGGCTCACCTTCGCCATCCACCCGGGCTGCAGCCACCTGCCGGATGCGCCCACTGAGTTCAAACTGCGCCGGGGAGCCCCGGGCGCGGGGCAGCTCCTCCAGCACCATGTCCTGGAAAACTGGGATGCCAGCTAAGGGCAATACAACACGACCTCCCTTCCCTCCCCTTCCGTCCCTCCCCAGGGAAACCCCGTGGGAAGGATACAGAGGTGGTTCATGGCCTGCCCTCCAGGGTACACCAGGCGGCCGGTGCGTGACCCTGTGTCGCCAGGGGGCAGCCAGGCCAGCGCCCCCCCTGTGAGGCTGTCGTCGAAGAGCAGGTCAGACCACTGCAGCAGCAGCTCCTCGTGCAGGCAGTCTGCCAGCAGCCCCAGTGGCACCTCAAAGAGCCAGTCACGGCACAGGTGGGAGAACCAGCGCAGGCGGGAGGCCAAGTGCTGCCGGTGGCAGCCACTGCAGGGCACAGACAGTGTCAGGCGAGGGGACAGAGGAACCCCACGAGAGCTCTGCAGGGCTGGGGACATGGGGACACACTCACCGCCGGGCCTCCAGGCGGTCAATGTCCTTCATGAGGGTCGTCATCCGGATGGTGCTGCTCCGGGCCGGCCTCTGTGGGGAGGAGCGGGCAGAGGTTGGGGCTGCAGGGGGAATGGTGGGGGACAGCACTGTTTCCCCCAGGACTGACACCGACCTTCAGTTTGGAGTTGCCTAGGTAGAAGTTCTTGTGCAGCAGCCGCCCCATGGAGCCGAACGCGTCCTCTGGATGATCTTCAAAGAAATGGCCCAGCTGTGCGGGAAGGACAGGGATAAGTTGGGATGTGCAGAGATCCCACACTGCCCTCCTTGGCAGGACACGGCGCCCCCGGTCCCACCTGCTTGGCGAAGTCCAGGGTGGCTCCAGACCTGCCTGCCCGGAGCTTCCGGCACACACTGCTGCGGTACAGGATGTCCTGAGGAGCGGGCGACGGGATCCATCGGCCTGTGGGGAGAGGGTAGGGGCCACCTGGCACTGGGACACGAGCACCGGGACAGCGCTCAGCATCCCCGGGCAGGGGCAGAGGCGGGACGGGATGTGCCCCGAAGGGTCGCAGCATTCCCCGCTGCTCCCGCGGCTCTCACCGGCGCTGGGCGGCAGCACCGGCACGGCCGCGGCCTCGGCGAGGTCCCAGGTCTCGCCCGTCCCGCCTCGGCGGGGCACGAACGCCGGCTGCGCCTGCTGGGGGGAAAACGGGAGACTCAGAACGGGGCCCGCGTGTCCCGCCGGGCTCCCTCGGCCGCGCCGGAGCGGGCAGGGCCTCACCTGGCGGCGGCCGGGGCTGCCCTCCAGCACCTCTCCGTGCTCGCCCCAGCCAGCGGCCAGCGCCGGGCCGCGCTCCTCCCGCGGCGGGCCCGCTCCGAAGTGCGAGGGGAAGAGAGCGGCGGGGAACTCCATGGCCCGGCAGCCACGCAACACGGGGATGGCGGCACCGCCCCCACCAATAGCGCCCGGCTACAGAGCGGGGCCAGAGCGGCGCTGCGGAGCGGGGTGAGAGGGCCCCCTGGCGGCCCGGGGGAAGAAACGCGCCACGGGCGGGGGCAAAGGGTCGAGAATGGGATGGGAGTGAGGCGGGAGTTTGATGGGAACGGGACAGAGGGAGGGTGGGACCGTAACCGGAATGGGACGGGACCGGGACTGGAAGAGGGAGGAGGGAGTGGTGGGACCGTGACGGGAACGGGACGGGACCGGGATGGGAACGGGCCGGGACCGAGATGGGAACAGGACGGGACCGGAATGGAAACCAGATAGGACTGAGATGGAACGGGACGAGGGGAGAGGGACGGGAATCGGACAGGATCGGGATGGGAATGAGACAGGATTGGCCTGGGATCCCCCCCCTCCCCACACACACACACACACAAGGGGGAGCGGTGGGAGAGGGACGGGGACGGGAATGGGACTGGACTGGGACTGGAACAGGATGGAGGGAGTGGTGGGACTGCGACAGGAACAAGACGAGACCAAGGTGGGAACAGGACAGGATCAGGATGGGAACAGGACAGGATCGGAATAGGAATGGGACAGGACCGGGATGCAAACAGGATGGGGAAAGAAGGACGGGAACAGGACCAGACCAGGATGGGAACTGGAGAAGACTGGGATGGGAATGGGACAGGGGGAGTGGTGGGACCGTGACAGGAACTGGACGGGATTGGGATGGGAATGGGATGGATCAGAATGGGAACAGGATGAGACTAGGTCTAGAACAAGATGGAGTGAGCGGTGGGATGGGGACAGGGTGGGAAAAGCAGTGGGACCAGTTTGAGAACAAGATAGTATCAGGTGGGGGGAACTGTGGGACAGGGCTGGACTAGGCCCAGCACTGGGCAGCCGCTGGAAGTAGAACTCACCAGGACACAGGCAGGACACAGGCATTGTCCCCCCTGCTCACCCCAGGAGAGCAGTGGGACCCCCGCGGGTCCTGCTGTGGGCGCTCCTGGCTCTCCGTGGCTGCCCTGGCCCTGGTGCTATCTGCCCGTGGCATGTGGGTTGTGGGGCCACGGGACAGCCCTGAATGCCTGAGGTATGTGGGATGAAAAGGCAACTCCTGGGGGGTGTTCTGTGGGGAGTATGGGATGGGAGAGGAGTGCTCCCATGGGTAACCAGCTGCCTCTATCCTGGCCAAGGAGGGTGGTGATGTCAGGACTGTCTGGGGATGATGTCAGGGGAGCTTGGGAAAGTGTGATGAGATCGTTTCCAGTCACAATGCCCTCATCCCAGCATGTGGTGCCCCGAACCCCCCTCTGGAACACCTCCTCTGTAAGATAAATGTTATAAATTTGCTATAAGAAGATGGCAGCCACTGTTAGAAAAACACTGAACCCCCCCAAACAGCTGCCACAGGTAGCCCTGTCACCCCCAGCCCCAGTGCACACCCTCAGCCCCATGTCCCTCTCCACCACCCCTCTGTCCCCAGGACATATTCTTTTCCCTAGATCCAGGCTCCTGTCCCCAGCCTTTGTCCTTGTACCCCAGACCCATATCACTGTCCGAAGTCACTGTCCCTGTTCCTAGCCCAGTGTCCCTCTCCACAAGCCTATATCCCTGTCTGCAGCCCCATGTCCTCTCCCTCAGCCCCATATCTCTGTTCCCAAGCTGTATCCTTGTCCACAGCCCCATGTCCCTGCCCACAGCCTGTGTCCCTTTCTCCAGCCTTCTATCCCTGTTCCCAGCCCATGTTTCAGTTCCAGCCCCATGTCCCTGTCCTGGACCTCCCTGGCCCATGTCCCTGTGCCCTGTAACCCCATTCCCAGCCCATTTCTCAATTCCAGCCCCATGTCTCTCTCTGCCAGCCTATATCCCTGCCTGCAGATCCATGTCCTGATCCCAGTCATTGTCCCTGTCATCAATCTGTATCCCTGTCTGCAGTCCTCAGGCTGTATCCCTCTCCACAGCCCCAAGTCCTGCCTCAGCTCTGTATCTCTGTTCCCAGCCTATATCCTTGTCCTCAACCCTATGTCCATGTCCCCAGCCTATAGCCTTATCCACAGTCCCAAAACCCTCTCCCTCAGCCCCAGACTTCTGTTCCCAGCCTATACCCTTGTCCCCAGCCTCATGTCCCTTTCCTCAGCCCGTGTCCCGCGCCCCCGTTCCAGACGCATATCTCGCTCCCAGCCCCGCGTCCCTGTTCCCAGCCCCGCACCACCCACCCACCCTCCCATCTCCCTTTTCTGTCCCCGCCGTGTCCCGGTCAGCGCCGGGTCCTTCCCGGGATGGGGGGGACCGACGGAGGAGGGGGCGTCGCTCGGGCGGTGGGCGGGGCGGTGAGCTGATTGACGTGCTCGGGGACCAATGGCGACGCGGGGACGGTGCCGCGGGGGCGGTGCGGGTGACGTCACGGCCGCCGGTGCGCGGCGGGGCGGCCGGTGGCGCGCGCGCCCCTCGGCAGCCGCGGCGGCGGCGGCGGCGGCGGCGGCGGCGGCGGCGATGGCCCCGCGGGGCGGCGGGGGCGGCGGGCGGCGACCCCCTCCGCTGCTGCTGCTCCTGCTCCTGCCGCTCCTGCTCCTGCCGCCGCCCGCCGCCGGTGAGCGCCGCCGGCATTCCCAGGGGGCGGCGGTTTGGCCG